CTGGGAATACCATCTACCTTGCAGAGTTATGGAGATATTAGAGCGCCTGCATATTTTAAGTGCCTAGCACAGTGCATGAAACACAAATAGAACTGGAAGTCTGAAATTTCTTTCCTTTTGAAATGCTGTAACTCTCTGAAAAGCATAAATCTGAATAGCATATCTATTTAAGAGAAACCTATTATAATGAATTCTGTGACAAATCCCCCAAAAGCAATCACACACACCATTTTACGTCATTTGACACACTTCCCTAAGTAAAACTTCTCTAGCAAAGACCAATGTAAACAATACACAAAATAACATATAAAATACCCTCCAGTAACATAATATGGCGTATTATGATATGAAAATGTGGTATGACTAGAGGAATATGCTGTATCTGGTGTGTTCTCATTACTGTTTGTCCTGTTTGATTCCCATTTTTTAAAAAATGAAATTTACCAAAGCTTGGCAACACAACCGGAAAACAATGTTGCAAAAGAAGATCACCTTGTATCTTATTACTTAACCCAGTGCCAGAAGAGTGGTTTATCAAGTTGGCAAATGGGGAGAAAACCTAGATTAATGAAATGGCTTCTTCCTATCCCCATACTCTTGCCCAACCGCCCTGACCTGATTTTTCCTCATTATGCCTATCACAGAGGATTCTGGGAAGAGGGGAGAATATGCAGGTTGGAAGACGGATTTACAAAAATAAAATAATAATAGCACCCTAAAAGCAAGAGAAATGAATCTTTCATATATTCTCCCCTCCAAACCACATAAAATTCTACATGCCACACATTGTGCCAAATGTGTCACATCAACTCTTTATGCTTCACAATAATCCTATGTCGTAGGTATTAGAACCATCCCCACTTTACAGATGATGCAACTGACACTGAGAAAGATTGAGAAACTTGTCCAAGGTTGCACAGGTACTAAGTGGCAGACAGCCAAGAGTCTTGACTCTAAAATCCATACTATTTACCCAGTACTATACTACTTATTACTGCAATGTAGATGAAAGGGTACTGGGTTCCAGACTCAGCTTCACCCCTTGGGCAAAGCACTTACCCTTGTTGAGCAGTTTGTCATTGGTAAATAAGGTCAACAACAGCTGCCCAGCCTTCTCCATAGCATCTGAGTGATGCCAAAAGAGTTAATGTGTGTGCAAATATGCCATAAAAAGTACAGGGCATTATGTAAATGTAAGATGTTTTTAATTTGAGCTCAGGTACCATATATTTTTAATCCTTCCAAATGGTTTATGGACTTAAAAATAAGTTTAATAGCAATTAAATAATTTTTAACATTCGCAAGCAAAAATCTAGGGGGAAAGAAAAAACCTTAGCATTCTGGAAAAGGCACAACTATTGAGACAGTAAATAGATCAGTGGTTGCCAGCAGTTTGGGGGAAGGGAGGGAGGATGAATAGGTACAACACAAGGGATTTATAGGGCAGTGAAACCACTCTGTATGATACTGCAATGGTGGATATTTATTGTACATTTGTCAAAACCCACAGAATGCGCAACACCAAAGTGAAACCTAATGCAAACTCTAGACTTAGTAATAATGTATCAGTATTGACTCATGAACTGTAACAAAAGTACCACACTAATGCAAGATGTAAATAATAGAGGGAAACAATGTATGTGACGGGTATATGGGAACAATGCAGTTTCTGCTCAATTTTTCTATAAACCTAAAAACTGCTCCAAAAAAAGTCTACTAATTTTTTTAATCAACCTTATAAAACAAATTCTACAGAGGAATTCGGGAAGTAAAATCAACGAGCTTGATGTTCTAAAATGTGCCTGAAGGTTGGTCCGAGTGCAGTGGTGCTTACAACTGATTGATCACAACCAGTTACAGATTCCTTTGTTCCTTTCTCCACTCCCACTGCTCCACTTGACCAGCCTTTTTAAAAAAAATAAAAAATAAATAAAATAAAATAAAATGTGCCTGAATACTTGATAATGTATATCCATCATTTTAGACAATGCTGTCCAACAGAACTTTATGCAATGATGAAAATATTCTAGATCTGCTCTGATACAATAGGCATTAGCCACGTTGGCTATTGAATACCTGAAATTTAGCTAGTATGACTGAGAAACAGAATTTTTTATTTTATTTAAATAAATAGCCACATGTCACTAGTGGCTACCGTATCAGCACAGTTTCAGACAATTCCTCAAGAGATTCCTAGAAATGTACTGTAATATTACCTTTAGAAGAGAAAAACTACCCCAAGAGACCATTCAAATAGATGTAGTTATGAAACAATGCCACAATTAACTGAGCAGGTCAAGAGTGACTAGGCAAATGGTTAAAACAACCAGGAACCAATAATGCCCATTTCCAATTGCTGCTCACTTCAAGTCCCATAATGTAATCAAATAGTGACAAAATAATCACTTTTATTTTAATTCCTTCTATATTTTCAGAACACTCAATTCATTAAACATCATTTCTGCTTCCTGAAAAAAAGGGGTAGAGGATAAGTTAGAATTAAGGAATAATTTCTCAAGCCAAGTGACTCAGAGGAAATTTAAAAATTAAGAATCATAAAGAAGTAACTTAAAATGATTTTGATTTTTTTGTTGTTGTTTTTTGTTTGTTTTTTTTTTTTTTTTGAAGAGACGGAGGTCTCTTTATGTTGCCCAGGCTGGCCTCAACCTCCTGGGCTCTAAGGATCCTTTCACCACAGGCTCTCAAGTAGGTGGGACTATAGTGTGCGCCATGACACCAGGCTTAAAAATGATTTTTGCAGACACAAGATATTCGCTCAATTTTTTAAATGAAAATTCAAGAACATTTAACTGTGTATTTCAATTCCATGTTATAGTCAGTTGGAAACCAAAGGGAAAAAATGCCTAGAAAAGCATCGCCAAAGAAGAAAGGAATGGTCCTGCATGGTGGCTCACACCCGTAACCCTAGCACTTTGGGAGGCCAAAGCAGGAGGATCACTTGAGGCCAGGAGTTTGAGACCAGCCTGGGCAACATAGCAAGACCCCCTCTCTACAAAAAACAAAAAAATTAGCTGGGCATGGTGGTATATGCCTGTGGTCCCAGCTACTCTGGAGGCTGAGGCAGGAGGATCACTCAAGCCCACGAGTTTGAGGCTGCAATAAACTATGAGGACACCACTGCACTCCAGCCCAGGCAACAGAATGAGACCCTGTCAAAAAAAAAAAAAAGGAGGAATATGAGGTAAATAAACAACGAGACAGTAGAGACACACATAACTATTCATATCCAGCTGTTAACCAGAGCTCTGCACCTCAAAGGGTCATTACCTCTTATCTTGGTCGTTTAAAATGCTAGTTGATTAAACCTCAGTTCCTAATTCAACGACTTTTTGTCCTTATCCCAGTGGCATAAAAGGGAACTTATGTCCTCAATTGCAGTGGCTTTTTATCAGAGTTCTCCCCTGGGGAACCTATGAAATCAAACACTGAGATTGGCTCCCCACCCTCAGGGAATAAAGTGTCCAAAGTGAGTGTTGAATCTCTACAGTACATTGGTCCACAGCTTCTTTTTCAGTCCTGCAAGCACAGGATCTTTCTTTTAGAATACAAAGAGAGAGAAAGAAAGAGGTAATTGAGAAGTAGTAACACCCTCAAGCAGAGACATGAAAATACCTAACCTTAGAAACAGGCCCAAAAAAGCTAATTCTTAACATTTTGCTCAGATGTAAACTGGACCTTTGTTCTCCTTTCTGAAGTTCATGAACTGCATTAGAAAAATATTATTTCGTAACTTCATATAGGAGTGACTTTTAAGAGTATTCAAATACATAATTAGGTAATATTAAATAGCCCTGAGCGATCAAGAAGGACGTCCAACAAGTTGAATGTTTCACTATGTTCACCTGCAAGGAAAAAGAGACAGGGTTCCCACCTTCCCAGCGTCATTCCCCGGGGTTCTCCATTCCAGGGCCCCGAAAACCCTGTACCCCATTCGTTGTGCAATCTTTTTCAAACTCCACCCATTGAGCTCCAGAACAAGTGGAATTCTCCCATTCTGAAAGAGGTCTCTCGATTTTCCTGTATCCAGGGAGACATTGTAAACTCCATGACGTGAGGCAAGTAAGGCAAAGGGAACGGTCCAGCTTGCTTGTCTCCCAGATTAAGAAAGACCAAAGGCCAGGGTCGGGGAGGCACTCTAGTTTCCGCTCATCAAATTAAAAAAATAAATAAAAGAAAGAAAAAAGAAAAAAAAAGGGCAGGGGGAGATAGGACTGGGAAGACCAGCTATCACGCCATACTGCTCCCAACTCTGCGGGACCGACGTCCTCCAGCATCCCCTCCCCATCCATCCCTTGCCCCACGTGCAACCAGGCCGGTGGAGCTCAGAGACTAGCCCCGGGGCTTGGGTCCTGGGGGCCGAAAGGCCACCCCCCACTCAACGGCCCCGAAGCGCTCGCCCCCCCGCCCTCGCAGTGGCAGGGAGCGCAGGGGGGCGGGGGAAGCGGGGCGAAGCACAGCCCCGGCTCCCGCGCGGTTATCTTGCTGCGCAACAGCCTCGTCTGAGCGGCCCGGGAGCACTCCGCAGCGCGCCCTCCGCACCTGCCCGACGCGAGGAGGGCGAGCCAGTGACCCCAGAAAGCCCCCCCTCCATGGTGGCGCCCAGCGCAGGGAGCACGGTGACGGCAGGGGCCGAGAGGACACCTGGTGCCCGGGGCCCCACAGTGCCGGCCGCACGTGGCTGTCACACCTGGCGCGCCCCTGCCTCGCGCCCCTTCCCCCTCGAGCCCGGATACGCCCCCCGCCCTCCCTCCCTGCACCCCCGCAGCGCGCCCACAAACCCTAACCGTCTCCTCCTCCCACCCCATCTATCCCGGTCCCACCCCCCCCACCTGCTCCCACTGTCGTCACCCCCTAGAGAGAAGAGGGCCGGATGTTCGTCCCGTCGCTAAAGGTAACGGTGGATAGTGAGGTGGACCCCGAAAAAGGTAGCTCTAACATCCTCCCGGCCCGGCAACAACGAGGGCGACTCCCTGACTGACCTTCTGCCGCGGGCTGCGTCGCCGTCCGCCCCGTCCGGCCTCAATCGCCTCCTCGGCGCCGCCGCCTCTTCCCCGCGCTGCCTCCTCTACCCGCGTCGCCATGAGGTGACGGCAGCAGCCAAACAAGCAGCCCGACAAGGGGCAAAGAACCTCGTAGGGCCTTGCACCCCGCCCCCGAATCTTGTAGCCAATCGCCGCACGTAAAGCTTCCCACATGACCGGAGGAGGTTGGCCCCCGAGGGGATGGAGCGAGATGGGGGTGGGGAGCATTGAATTCTGGGCTGGGCTTCGGCAGGACCGAAGGGCAGACAGAGGCCGCATGAGTCTGCGCAGACGGGGAAAGGGACTCGGGAACGGACTACAAGTCCCAGAAGGCTGCGCGGCCACGGCTCGCAGGCTCGAATCGGGATTGGAGCATAATGCAGCGTTCTGAAAATGGAAGAGTACTGCGCTGCCTGTGCAACCTACTGGGACTTGTAGTTTCTGGGGCGGGGGGAGGCGCTGTCTAGATATCAGCTGCTCCTTATTATGCTGTGGGAAAAGTTTAGAAATATTCCAGCGTTTGAGAAGGAGCGGGATCAGGAACACTTTGTTGTGTTTTTGTTTTTGTTGCTGTTCTTAGGAATTGGGCACGAATGATTTGGGGATAAGGGGAAATAGTTAGCAATTTTCAAGGCAGGAGGTGTAATGGCTCTCAGAATTTGAGGTTTCGGGCTCAGACACCTGCCCCGAGTCCTGCCTGGAGTCCTGCCCCTCCACCGGAGTTCTCACCACGGTTTACCTATCCCGAGCCCCTGCGGGGTGGCGGCTGCCTCCTATTCCTCTTGGCTGAACCGCCCCGGCTTCTAGTACTGTTCTCCACAGTTAATTGGCGTTTCATTCATGTCGAATGTATCTGCTTTCTCCGACAGTCGTTTCGTTGCTTAAATTTTTCAACAAACTCGGTTTGCTGAATCAAATTTTTTTCTTGATATTAAGGGGCGGGGGGCTCGCTTTCCTCAGGAATATTCCCTCTTTCCAAATGCTGGAACCAGATCTCCAATGGCCGAGCTTCTGAAAGTCACAGACCATCATAAAATCCTGACGTATTGTCTTAAATAATTCATTATGAAAATTTGTGCAAATTCTATACTATTTTTTATTAGAGTTGAATTCAAAACGGTGGTAACAGGCGCCAAAAATGTAGTAACATACACGAAAGTAAATTTCAATAATGGGGAAATTCCATCCATTATTTTTAATTATTTCTGTAAATTTGGAAAAAGTACCATTATTTTGTTTCATGGGCAGAAAACCTCAGTCCAGCTTTGAAATTTCAAGATTAAAGCATTGCCTGAGACATAGGTGACAGCTGATAATGAACGATACCCAGACTATATAAAGGTGGTGGCTTCAGCCACCATGTCTCATCGTCTTAAAGGCAAAAGTCCCAATAAGATGCAGAATAAATCTCTCAGTAATGCAATTCTCTGGAGAATCGAATGACAAAATACACTGTAGTTAAATCATAGTACAATACAATACCACGAAGGTACTAAAACTGACAAGCATTTTTAAAATTTGACCTAGAAAAAAAAATATTTATGTAGAATTGCCTGAGACTATGTTTATAAAAAAATGGTTAGAAGGTTATTGATCAAAATGTTAATAACGTTTTTCCCTGGATGGTGAGATTTGGGAGTATTTTTACTTCATGATTTTCTGTAGTGTTTAGGTATGTGTGGAACAAAAAAAATCAATAAAGTTGTCTTTATTAAGAAAACAAAAGTCCTTTGGGAGTGCAGTAGTTTAAAAAAAAAAGAAAAAATTCGGTTCTTCGGCAACTGGGATCCATTTCCATTGGTTCTTACAGTCGCTCCTGAGACCCCAACAGTGAAAATGGTGAAGGAGATTGAGAGCAAGTGTGCTTTTCTGGAAGCCTTGGATGATGGCAGAGATAAACTTAGAGTAGTTGACTTCTCAGCCACATGGTGTCGGCTTTGCAAAATGATCAAGACTTTCTGTCATTCCCTCTCTGAAAAGTATTCCAATGTGGTGTTCCTTGAAGTAGATGTGGATGACTGTCAGGATGTTGCTTCAGAGTGTGAAGTCAAATGCATGCCAACTTTCCAGTTTTTTAAAAAGGGGTAAAAGGTAGGTGAATTTTCTGGCACTAATAAGGAAAAGCTTGAAGCCACCATTAATGAATTAGTCTAATCATGTTTTCTGAAAACATAACTGGCCATTGGCTATTTAAAACTTGTAATTTTTTTATTTACTAAAACTATGAAGTATGGAAACTACATACCCAATTGCCATCTGATTATAAATGACAATAAAATATTAATTCTACCCTTTAAAAAAAGAGAAAACAAAAGAACTATGCAAGTGACCTCAAGTCCTAAGAGAAATGAAAAATGTTTAATTATGTTTATTAAATGCATGTCTTTATTTGAAAAGAGATTTGAAGTGAATCATATACACAATATGCTATAACATATATAGATATATTGATATATAGATATCATGTCATAAATATGTATGTGTATACACACAAAAAAATGAAAAAAAGGGCTAAAAAATAAGATGAAGTCATGGTAAGTTCAATCCATAACACACACACCTTAAGGTTTGTACACAAGCTGGAGGTTAGTTAGATTTTTATTTTGAGCTTCTTGGCAGCTGGGAAAAGAGGAAAACACAATTTACAGATTGATTCACAACATCACATAATAAAAACAAACTGGTTACTTAAGAGAAACATAATTATTACCGGTCTGCAAGAAACATGAATTTTAGAGATGTTTCTTATAACATCTTGAATGTAGGCTCTGATAGTTTTGAAATCTGTTCAGAAGCTCTTCGATGCTCCTCCCTTCAAAAGGTGGATTCTGATTCCCTTCCCCTTGACTGTGGGCCAGACTTTGTGATTTGCTTCTAAGAAATACAACGTATCAGAAGCGATATATAACTTCCAAAACTAGGTGAAAGGATAGCTTCTACCTGGCTGTCTCTGTCTTGGCTCACTCTCTTCTTACATGGGTCACACTAACCTGATTTTTGTCTTGTCTTTTTCTTTTTTTTTTTTTTTTATAAACAGGGTGTCTCTCTGTCACCCAGGCTGAAGTACAGTAGGGCAATCATAGCTCACCGTAGCCTTGAATTCCTGGGCTCAAGTGATCCTCCTGACTCAGCCTCCCTAGTAGCTGGAACTACAGGCGTGCACCGCCACGACTGGCTAGGTTTTTCTTTTTATTTTTTGTAGGGACGGGGTCTCACTATGTTGTTCAGGCTGGTCTTGAACTCTTGCCTTCAAGTGATCCTCTGCCTTGGCCTCCCAAAGTGGTGGGATTACAAGCCAGAGCTACTGTGCTTGGTCCTGATTTTTTATAGACCCATTTTTTTCTTTAGATTATTAACTTAAATGCCTTCAAAGAGGCTACTGTCAAGTGTTAGCCTAAGGATTTGTAAAGCACTTAGCTAATCTTTGCTGGAATCCTTCATTGGGGTTATATTAATATTTTAGGTTTTTAAGGGCTATGATTTCTTTATTACCAAGTCTTTAAGGAGCACCTTATGTTCCGTTTACATTGATTGTTCCCACCTTTGCTCCAGGAATTACTGTCTCTTAAGAACTGTGCCTGTGATGAAGGGTAAAAGCCACAAGAACAGCAGCTCCTCATTGGGTAGGGGGTGTTTGCTCCAGGCTCCCTAAGGGCTGTCGATATAACCCAAATATGGGACCATTTTTTTTTAGATGTTTATTAAAGTCTTGAGCAAGCAGGCACAAAACAATTGTGTGAACAGTAAGCTCAATGATGTCCCAGCTCTTTGGCCTTTTAGGTACTTGACCATCATTTTGATGAAAGGCAAGGCACTCAAGGCAGACTCACCACTATTACAGAGACAGGATTAAGTTAGCCTGTATCAGGGAGCTGGACACAGGACCATTTAGAGGCTTAGCCTACAGTATTATCCAGAAGGAAACAGGTTTCATACTTGCTAGGTTCTGATACCCTGTTAATGCAAGGGTGAGGAGAGTCTCATATATTTTAAACAACGCACATATTAATATCTTGAATGCCACTCATTTCACTAACGTGAGCCCATTTCTAATGCCTGTTAGACTGGCTAACAAGCTACTAATTTCACCTATGAAAACCCACTTCTAACATTCATTTTGCTTCTTAACAAAGCTTCTGTTGTTGATTGAGCTATGGCTGACAGAAGCATCTGTAGTGGCTAGAAAATGGAATAGGGAGTCCTTGACTAATACTAGCTGTCCACCCTGAGTGTCTAAAGTCCTAAGTGGGGTCATTTCCAGCCCTTAACACAACACACTCCTCCTCCACCTCTTCCTTCTCTACCTTTGCTGACAGTAAATTATAGACCTCATCATATCCTATAACACGATCGAAAGTATTGATATATTGAAAGAAGCAATGTAGCCATCAGAAGACTGGAAACCTGAAAACCTAGGGAGAGCATGCGGGAGGCCAGACTGCCAGAGCCCATCCAAGCAATGTATGGAAGTCAAGGAATCTTGGTCAGAGAACTTCTAAAATAACTATTTGCTGGCCTACGCCTAGTGTGGGAATGAAGGCCCTGGTTAGCCCATCCTAATGCCTTTGATCAGTGGGAATTGGTTTGATTTCTTACCAAACCACCTTCCCATTGTAATCCAGCTTCCTACATGGGTCTGACCACAGAGAGAGAATGTAGATATGTGTACATTTCCATTTCATGAGACACTTACATTTCTCATTGTTAATAAAGGGACATTTTGACTTTATATATCAGGTCTACTTAATGTAAATCTAGTCCTGAGAGAGACATATTCTGGGTGGTCCCTCCAGGAAGCCCTGCTGGCCCCCAGAATATCTTAGATGTCCTGTGTTATGCATCCCTAGTACATTGTACTTCCCATACTAGGCCAGTCCCCACTCTTCAGTGTAGTGGTTTGTCAAATTGACTCTTTCCCCTAACCAGGTGGTAAACAAAGTGAGGACAAGGCACAAAGAAAGTTCTCAACACAAACTTACTGAGAAAAAGAGCCTCTGAATAGATAAATGCACCGATCAGTTTTCTGAAGGGCCAAACCTTCAATTCCCCAAGGAAATATCCCTTCCTGTGACCTCTTGGAGAATCTTCTGGTAGCAATGTCCCTCTGCAACCTGT